AACATCCACCACTACCAGCACCACCTCGACAAACACTAAGACGTTTAACTCCGGAAGAAGTAATGCAACCAACTAAAGCACAGAAGGCCTCAAAGGACACTACAATCAGATCAACGGAGCAAGCAACCAAAGAACCACCACCACTACGACAGAAAATCAACGCAGTGACACTTCCCAACGGAAAACCCATCACCCCCTACACAAACGACGACACCTCAGAAGACCAACCCATAATCTTCGACAACGAAGGTTACGACGAAACACAACTACTGGAAGGAATGAAACACGAGTCAAACCAAATGAAACTACACGACGTCTACGACGAAGTAGATGCGTCTACCGTCGACGACAACGTCATCAGAGAAGCGATACCTACAAGATGGGTACACAGAAAGAAAGGACCAGGAGTACGAAGCCGAATTGTCGCAAAAGGCTACACAGAGAAGATAGAGGACGAAGACTCCGTCTAGCCTCTACACCAATGTTCACAACACTCCGGACACTTCTCGCACTACAAATGTCACGACCAAACTGGATAGCGCGACTAGGTGACGTCTCTACAGCATTTCTACACGCACCCATCGCAAAAGACCACGACGGTAAACAGCGTGACGTCTACCTTTGCCCACCTAAAGAACTTTGTCCACAACAAGACAAGATCTGGCGACTAAAGAAAGCCATGTATGGACTACGCAGTTCACCAAAAGCACGGCAGGACTACCTGGCTGAAGCGTTACAAAAGCTCAGCTTCGTAAGACTAAAGTCAGAACCCAACGTCTACACCAATGCGACTCGCGACTGCTACATCATGGTCTACGTGGACGATCTACTAGTACTTGGAGACAAGACTGCGGTCGACTCCACTTTCGAGGCCGTCCAGAAGCAGGTACTACTCAAGCACATCGGCTACCTCGAGCCTGGCAAACCACAACAATTTCTTGGAAGAAACATCGACCACTTCGGCAACTACTGCAATCTTGGACTAAAGGACTCCTACATCGGCAACATGATCGAGGAGTCTGGAATGACCAACTGCAACACTGTGACCACTCCAGGAATCGCCCACTACAAACCAACAATAGAAGATGAAGCACTACTTGACCACGAACAACACAAAAGGTACAGAAGGATTGTTGGCAAACTTCAATGGTTAGCATACACACAACCAGACATTGCATACTCCACAAAAGAACTAGCACGAGACCTCACAGCACCTACAGAACTCTCACAGAAGAGAGTCAAACATTTACTACGCTACTTGCACGGCACCAAGCACTACAAATTCACCATAGAACCAACAACAACACTCAGAGCAAACACCAACAACATCCTGGATCTCGACGTTCATGTCGATGCCGACTGGGCAGGATGCCCTACTACCAGGAAATCAACTTCAGGTTTCAACATCATCTTTTTAGGAACAACAGTTGCATTTGGCAGCAGAACACAAGCTACAATAGCACTCAGCTCAGCAGAGTCTGAACTCTACGCCATTTGCACAGGAGTTAATGAGGGACTACACCTCAGAAACTTCCTACTTGAAACCAACATTTGCAGCAAGCTAAACCTACGCATCCACACAGACCCCACAGCAGGCAAGAGCATTGCTACACGACAAGGCACTAGCAAACGAGCAAAACACATCGACCTCAAATTCCTCTACACACAAGACCTCATCAAGCACGACATCATTAGAATCCTTAAGATCAACACACACTCCACAACAGCGCAGGTTTGTTTACCAAATACATCAGCAAAGAAACACTACACAGGCTCATCCAGAGCATTGGAATACGCATTTAGCACTACGAACGACCAGCGCAGCAGTTTCACAACAACAACAACGACTTTGGACATTTCTTGTATGTAAGTAGCTACATGTAACACGACACCTTTGGTATGTAAGTAACAGTAACTACATGTACTTTCACTTGCACTTTGTGCGGCTTGAGTCAACACTACAGTTGTTTGTTTCATATGTCTGCATTCGCCGCCTGCCTGGTAGCAACTACTTAGGCTCCTTTGTTTTTGCCCCGTTTCACTAAATTTTGCATTCCACTGCAGCCATGGCCGCTCCATCTACTGCAGATGCTACGATGGGAGACGCCACTACGCCCGACAGGGCCACTACACCTGAGTCCAGTGACCACGGAACTCCACCACCTCAAACCTACAACGACTCCAACTACCACTTCAACCATTCTACACCCGGCAACACCGCCTACTACAACCCGACCACAGTGATGGACCAACTACACATCACTGAGCACCAGACAACCACTGCACCACCACTGCCCGACAACATTCCCTACACTCAATTTTTCACTGCATTTACACTTGAAGAATATCAACTACTTTCACAACAACAAGCTACTCCACTGGCACAACTGGACTACACGCGACCCATTCGCTGCATCCCTGGAGATCTTCGGATGACCCACTACAACTCCACACTGCTCAGCGTTTCACTACCTGAAGCAGCCAACGTCCACTACTACCACACGACTTCACTCCACACTACAACTGGCGACAACACCAACTACGTCATCATCCAACTCCAGATTGAACAACCACTACTCCTGAGGTACCTCACTTCAGGACAATTTCTGCACTTCACAAGAGACTACATCTCCTACATGTCGGTACAACAGAACTACTACCTCCCGACTACAACACTTCCACAGACCATCTACAAGGTGAACTACAACATGACCACCTTCACTGACAACTACAGCCTCAGGAACAACTACGTTTGGAACTACCACATGCCACTACTGCTACCTGAACTACTCCACTACCTTTACAACCGAGACCAACTACACGACTTCCAGCGCAAGGCAATTACTACCATCCTCTGCAAAAGCATCCAATACTACGGATTCACACTACTCACCATGACAAACCTCACACAACACCACAAAGCACTACTACACCGCTTTCTACGGGAGTACGACCAACACATGTCGTGCCCCGAGATAGATGATGAGCGACTACGGGGAGCTCCAAACTACATGACAACCTTTTTCACCACCAACTACTACGCGACCTTGGACAGTCGACTACAAATGGTCCAAGCCTACCGCACCCAGAAATGGGGACTACATTTTTGAGCTCCTGCTCTACTACAACGAGTGCCTGCCTCACTACTTCCGTCCAGCGCCCTACATCGAGCTGGCACCTGAACAGCGTGAACTACTGAGCGCAGGTCACTACTTTTGTCAATACAGTAGAATTGATGAACAACAATGGTTTCCATCACTACTGTCAATCCATGTTTTGCACTTCAGTTGAAAAGGTACTACAGAGACCTTTTAACTGAGGGGCCGTGTCAAACTACATGCTTCACTTTGCACTTGTGTTGCATGTATGTTCACTACCGCAGGCCTTGAGCTTACTACTCCGCATGAGTCAAAAGGTTGGCAGCTGCAGACTACATCGGTTGACTGTTTGTTTGAACATTACAGCACTTGCACTGGTAAGCAAAGTAACAACCGATTTTAACGTCTTCACTCTCTTCGCGCTCTCTCTCTCTCTCTCGCTCTCTCTCCATACTTCTATGATGGACAGTTCTGAGCAACACATCTGATCGACACTTCTGAGCAACACTTCTGATGGACACTTCTGATCGACACTTCTGATCGACACTTCTTAACGACACTTCTGATGGACAATTCTGACCGACACTTCTAATCGACACTTCTGAACAACACTTCTGAACGGCACTGCTGAACGACCCTTCTGATTGACACTTCTGAACGACACTTCTAATCGACACTTCTGAACGACACTTCTAATGAACACTCCTGATCAACACTTCTGACACGCGCAGCGCGCCACAGCGAGAGCGATTCGACCCACCCAAAGTGCGCAGAGGGTTCACTTTGCGAGCTCAGAGTGCGCACAGCGCCACAGCGAAAGCGATTCGACCCACCTAAAGTGCGCAGGGGGTTCACTTCGCATGCTCAAAATGCGCGCCGCACCACAGCGACAGCGATTCGACCCGCCCAAAGTGCGCAGAGGGCTCACTTCGCGTTCTCAAAATGCGCACCGCGCCACAGCGAGAGCGATTCGACCCATCCAAAGCGCGCAGATGGTTCACTTTGTATTTTCAAAATGCGCACCGTGCCACAGCGAGAGCGATGCGACCCACCCAAAGTGCGCAGAGGGTTGACTTTGCCTTTTCAAAATACGCACCGCGCCACAGCGAGAGCGATTCGACCCACCCAAAGTGCGCAGAGGGTTCACTTTGCGTTTGCAAGCGCCACAGCGAGAGCAATTGGACCCACCCAAATGCTGCGCCTGCTACGACATCGGCGCGCAAGCTCGAAAGTACTGCGCCTGCCACGAAATCTGCACGAAAAGCTCTAAAGTGCGGTGCATGCCACGAAATCTGCACAAAAAGCTCTAAAGTGCTGCGCCTGTCACCAAAAATCACTTTACAGCGACACGCAAAACAGACTTTGACACTCTCGCACTGCCGCGGAAAACTACCGAGGGACTGTAGCGCCAAAAGATTTCGGCCGATTTTTTTTGCAAATCTGCAGTTGTGAAAACAAGCCGATTGAACGACAGGGCCAACGAAAACGGCGCCGGCGCAAACACTATTACGCGCCTGCCAAGCAGGACACCTCAAAACAACCGCCCCTGCGTCGCAAATCCCACTGGCACGGCAACGAGAACACGCAGCCTTCCAAAACACTGCGCCTGCGCAGCGAAACGACACGTCGAGCTTCAAAAGCTACGATTCCCGCACAGGGGCACAAATATGACACGCTTCAAGTCATCCAAACGACGTGTAAAAACGCTTTAACCAACGGCACAGCCTTACGTTCCACTTGCGGACGCTTGCGAACGCTTGCGGACGCTTGCGAACACAGCGACGCATCTGGCGAACACATGCTGACCCCCAGGCCCCCTTCTATAACAGGAACCCTTCGCTACGCATTTGGGAACAAAACCTCGGTTTGAGGAATTTCTGACACGCTGACATCTCGCATGTCCTTCGTGGTGAGGAGGATCTCGCCCAGCGCTGTGACCCGAACATCGGCCAGCGCTGGGACCGCTTCCAATCGCTCCACAATTGCCAAAGCCTGAGGCAAACAAGATCAAACAAGAGATCAAACACGCGAAAGCTGAAGCTGTGCGCCCAAGCAAGGAGCTCCGCCGTGTCAAAGCTCCAAATCTCGGGGCCTAGGCCAGCGCGCCACTCTCCGCGACCCTGTCCGCGTGCGTCTCAGATCGGGGCCCATTCCAAAAGAGCAAGGGCGCGTATATGATAACGCAGCATTGCTGCCGCGCATCCTGTGGAATTGCAATTGCGGCGCACAACGCCAAGAGCTGGATGGGGGGATTAAGCCAATATTCAAAACAACCACACTGGCGGCCCTGGGCGAAGAAAGAAAGAACTGGGCGAAGCAAGAAAGAACTTTATGCGCCCCTGGCGTGGCATGGAACACTTTGGAAGTTCGACAGTGAGTGCTTCACGCGGGCTTCAGCCCAGGGCAAGGTCATGGCGTTTGGCAATCAAAAGCGAGCATCCTTCCAAGCGGTTACGCGCTTGGAACAAAAGCTGTTGCATACATTACATACATACATACATACATACATACAGACATACATACATACATACATACATACATACATACATACATACATACATACATACATACATACATACATTACATGCATACATACATACATACATACATACATACACACATGCATACACACATACATACATACATACATACATACATACATACATACATACATACATACATACATACATACATACATACATACATTACATACATTACATACATACATACATACATACATACATACATACATACATACATACATACATACATACATTCATACATTACATACATAGATACATACATACACACATAACGTATGGACGCACCTGCATACAAACATACATGCATTACATGCATGCATGCTTGCATACCTACATACACGCATGCATGCATACATACATACATACATTACGTAAATACATACGTACATTACATACATACACACATACAAACATACATGCATTACATACATACATACATACATTCATTACATACATTACATACATACGTTACATACATACAGCCATACATACATACATACATACATTACACACATACATACATACATACATACATACATTACATTACATACGTACATACTTACATACATACATACAACACATACATACACTCATACATACATACATACATACATACATACATGACATACATTACATACATACATACATACATACATACATACATACATACATACATACATACATACATACATACATACATTACACACATACATACATACATACATACATACATTACATACATACATACATACATACATACATACACACATGCATACACACATACATACATACATACATCCATACATACATACATACATACATACATTACATACATTACATACATACATACATACATACATACATACATACATACATACATACATTCATACATTACAT